TTCCTTTATACACCTCTTTTTCCTCCCTCAGGGCCACCTTTATAGGTTTCATAACCTGTCCCCACACTCGTTCCCTGATAGGTACACATATATAAGAAGTAGGAGCTAGGATCTGCATATGAGATAGACTGTGTGGTCTTTGGTATTTGTCTTTCTGAGCCTAGTTCTTAATATAATGTTTCCCACCAACTATGAAATTTTGAGTGTGGGTCGATCTTTCTTTTTTTCTCTCTCTCTCTCCTTCCTTCTCCTGGTCCTCCTTCCTCTCCCCGCTCCTCTCTCTCTGTCTCTCTCTTCGACAAGGATCTCTCTGTATAGCCCGGACTGCCCTCTAATATGGTCCTCCTGCCTCAGCCTCCTGAATGCTGTGGGATTTGAGGCAAGCATCACTAGGTCTAGCTTTTGTGTCCCCTTCCTTGTGTTCATTGGTTTTCACACCCCTGAGACTTCTGGGGAGGATCTGGTTAGAAAGAGGGTAGGGACGCAGCTCACCAAGGTGCAGCTAGACTCTGTACCCTGCAAACCTTGCCACTGTTTATTCTGATAGTTCTTTTTCCGTGTGAAGCTGGCTTTGTTCCTGTAATCAGAAATACTTCTGACTTGCCCTATCCCTTTTGCTGAAGACAAATCTCTTTCAGCTCCCAACTCGTTTGAGAGCAAGTTTGGGCAACAGGAGAATGTTTGGGAGTGCTCAGTTTCCATTCTAGGCCTCCACCGTAGCACACATGGGCTCTTTTGATTCCTTTTCAGTCCAGTGGAAAATACTTGCCAATACGATGCTCTCTCTCTGGCCCTTTACCTTGAGGGAAAGTGAAAGCTTACAGTGTGATTCCCAGACTCCGGAGTTGAGGGGCCACACGAGGAGGACCCGGTCAAGTGACTTTGGGCTTCTGCTTTAAACAGATAGAGAGACTAGTTTGGATTTCAGTGGTATTGTCTTATTTCACACCTTTCCAGGAGGTGGCTGTCTTGGACTATCCCGGCTCATACCTTGGCTCAAGAGTCTGATGTTTCTCACATGCTGGGCCTTGCCAGGACGTGAGCTGTGTGTCTTGTGGCCTTGCTTCTTAGACAGAAGAGCTTTGAGAGCTGTGCCACGGATACACCAGCCTCCTTCTAGCTAAGTTTCTGCTTAGTCTGCCTGATAGCTCCTGCCTCTGCTAGCCAAATCAGCAGGGTTGGGTGGCAAGACTTTCGGTTTGTCTCTGGTCCTCCACCTCTGGCCGCAGCCCAGCAGGCTGACCTGTCTGGTTCATCACAGCATCACTAAGGTGACAGGATCGGGGAACAGCTGTGTCTCAACCCCGGGGAAAGTCAGTCACGGGTGGCTTATGGACTTTCTCAACCCCGGGGAAAGTCAGTCACGGGTAGCTTATGGACTTTCTCACCAGCCCCTTCTGAACGGCAATGGAAAGCCACAGCTTAACCATGGATGTGTCCTTGCAGGGTGGAAAGACCTTATCAGTGTCTATCTTAGAGCACTGGACCTCGAACCTTAAAGACTGAAGTTCTTGCTGGTGTGTACTTAACCTCTGCACTGTCACATAGGTTAGGAAGTGTGCCCCGCCCTACACTCTGAATATTACCTGTGCAGGCATTCGGGTTATGCGCCTAATGTACGAAGGTAGACTTTCATCCTAACAGTACTTGAGTTTGTATTTCATCGCTCATAAGGTTTGGTTACTCTCTTTCATTGGTCACTAAGCCAATAGAACCATTCAGTATGGTAGCCACAAGCTACATCTGCATATGACCCGTGGCTGGTACAGCCAAGGAACCAAATTTTAATGCATCTCCCTCTCTCTCTCTCTCTCTCTCTCTCTCTCTCTCTCTCTCTCTCTCTCTCTCTCGTGTGTGTGTGTGTGTGTGTGTGTGTGTAATGCATCTCCCTCTCTCCCTCCCTGCCCTCCCTCTCTTGTGTGTGTGTGTGTGTGTGTGTAGGCCAGATCAGTGTCAGGCGTCTTTCCCTGTCCCTCCGCCTGCCTGGCACGAGGTTTGCACGCGTCCCCACCCCTAGCTTCTCACATAGGTGCTAGTGACCAAACTCAGGTATTCATGATTGTGTTCGAATTCCCACACATAGCGGTAGCTACTGAAACGGGCAGTGCAGGCTAGCCTCTTGCATTTGAGGAGCTTATATTGTATTTGCAATGAAATTGGGGGGAAAAGACTTCATACAGGTACATGGTGGTAGTTCAAAAGTCACAAGAGAGCCGGGCATTGGTGGCACACACCTTTAACCCCAGCACTTGGGAGGCAGAGGCAGGCGGATCTCTGTGAGTTGGAAGCCAGCCTGGTCTACAGAGCGAGTTCTAGGACAGCCTCCAAAACAATACAGAGAAACCCTGTCTCAAAAAACCAAAAAAGAAAAAAAGTCACAAGAGAGTATCCGTTAGAAATCTTGCCTTCAGGCCTGGAGAGATGGCTCAGCGGTTAAGAGCACTGACTGCTCTTCCAGAGGGACCCAGGCTCAGTTCCCAGCACCCACATGGCAGCTCACAATGTTTTTAATTCCGGGGATTCCAACACCCTTACAGACATACATAGAAGCAAAACACCAATGCACAGAAAAATACAAAAAGAAATAAATCTTTTTTCATCTCTACTCCCAACCCCCTACTTTCCCTTCCCAGAACCAGCTGTTATTTCCAGAACCATTTTATACACATGAAAGCATATTATGTGTATCACTCTCATTCTCTTTCCAATTCGGAAGTCTTATTTTGTCTACCATTTTGGTTTTGCTTCTTTAATTATTTTTCTTAGACCGAGTTGCTGAATAGCTCATACTAGCCTTGAATTCCTAATCCTCCCGCTTAGGCTTTCTCCCTCCCTTTTTCATTTTCATTTGTTTTATTTACTTTTTTCGAGACAGGGTCTCTTGATACAGCCCCGGCTGTCCTGGAACTCGGCTCTTTAGAGCAGGCTGGCCTTGAACTCAGATCCGCCCGCCTCTGCCTCCCGGCCACCACACAGCCGGGATGTGCTTCAGTTCTCAGAGAGATGGAGGTATAGATGTCTACCACCATGCCTGGCTGCTCGACTGTCTTCCATTTCCTTTCTTTTCTTTAAAAAATTAACAATATACCTTATTGTTCATTACCCATTGGGACAAATGGGACTGCCTCGCTATTTCAAAACGTATCTATTTTCGTGCGTACGGGAGTTTTGCCTGCATGTGAGCTGTTTGTATGTCTGGTGCCTGTGGAGGACAGCAGAGGGTACCAGATCTCATGGAACTTGAGTTACAGCTGTGAGCCCCCCATGTGGGTTCTGGGAACTGAACCCCTGAACCCTGGTCCTCTGCAAAGCGGCCAGTGCTCTTAAGCTCCAAGCCGTCTCTCCAGTCTCAAGTGAATGCAATTTTTGTTTTCTAAAGACAAAACCTAAGTACCACTGCTGGCTTGGAAATCACTGTGTTGACCAGGCTGGCTCCTAACTTACAGAGATTTACCTACATCCGTTTTTCCGAGCACTGGGATTAAAGGCATGTGCCACCACCACCCGGTTGTATGCCCCATTATTTTAATGCCTGATGATTTTCATTTGTATTTAGTGGCTCTATATAATCTTTCGTTGTTGTTTTTTTTTTGTTGTTTGTTTGTTTTGTTTTTCAAGACAGGGCTTCTCTGTGTAGCCCTGGCTGTTCTGAAACTCACTCTGTAGTCCAGGCTGGCCTCCAACTCAGAGTTCCGCCTGCCTCTGCCTCCTGGGTGCCGAGATTAAAGTCATGCACTACCACCATCTGGCTAGATAGTCTTTTTAAAACCTATGCCAGCATTTTTTTCCGCCAGACCCCATGAAAGTGGGTGTGTGACTCCAGTCTGTCATTATAGTATGTTGTAATAAATAACCTTGTATCGAGATTTTATATGTACTTGATAGAAAGTAAGGGCGAACTGCTTAAGCAAAAGGGACCTTGTTAGGCCAAGGGACAAGTCGCTGTCCGTGGAGTTTGTGGATGGGTGTGCAAACTGGTCCAGGCTGGGTTTTACACATCCACACCGCACGGTCTGTGGCTCCTGGGGTTTTTACTGACTGATTTTGCTGGTGATGAGTGAGAGCCTCAAGCCAGTGTCTTATTGTAAATGAATCGAGCATATTTTGTGGGTTTAGGGGTCCTGTTTCTAGCTTCTTTCTGGAGAGTTACCCAGGCCACTCTCCCACTTTTCTGCTTGTTGTCCTTGGGCTGTGGGGAGCTCTTTATGCTCTGAGGAGGCCGTGCGCTGCGTGACATCTCCAGGCGAGTTTTGATTTTGTTTGTGAGGTCTCTTTCAAGTGGGCTTCAAAAGCAAGTGTGCGCAACCGAGTTATTTTTGTTTTGCTCTGGGCTTATGTTTCTTAGAGTGGCCTTCCCCGGGGGAGACGTTTCAGAGTCGTGATGTCTTCTGATTCTGTTTTGTGTGTTTAGTGCTAGCTTGCCTAGAATAGTTCTGGGTCCAGTGGCCTGACCTCTCCCTCCTCCCGACGCCTCGCAGTTGGCTGTGGAGTATCTGTCAGCCCCCTTCCGTGCTTCTAACCCTGGTTTTGAACACCGGGCCCCTGTTCACCTGCTCCACCCTGTAGCAGGATTGCATCCTTTACCCCTTCGTTATTTTTCTTTTTTTAAAATCCATTCCCAAGCATAGCATTCAGGTAAGTCCCGGCAAAGAAGGGGAAGAATCCAGATCTTTGCTTGAAGTTCCTTGTTAAGCTTTGTGCCCCAAGCTCGCCTGCTGTCTTCCCTTTGACCTCCCCTTGCTAGTGGCAGTCAATCCTCGCCTGACCTCTCACCTGCTCACCTGAGACCCTATGGCCCTCCCAGGGCCTGCCCTCCGTGGTGCACTTTTCCCTAGTTGGGGAGGTGGCCTGAGCTCGAGGCGGATTACAAAGCCACGGGAAATATGCGTTTTCCGTGTGCGGAGAGAACCCCTCCGCTCCACCACAACCAGATCTGGCCAGCTGCCAACACATTCCTGATATGATTTAATGCTTTGTCATTTTGTTTCTTGTGATTACAGAGTCTCATTTTCTGCTCCTGCTGAAGCCAGTAACGTTGCGAAAGAGTCTCTCTGCTCCTTGAAGAGTAAGTGTGAGTTGTGAGTTTTTAATGTGTTAGATTTTCTAAAAGAGGAGCCGGCCTTCCTGAGGCTGGGGAGTCTCTAGGACATTGTGTGTGGTGAGGAGGAATTAGTATTTGGGGCAAGGGTCTTCAAAACTACAGTATACAGTCCAAAAGCCCCTAGGGTTTTCAGAGACGGCCTTCGAGCGGGGCTCTGATATAAAGGCTATCCAGAAGGCAAGGCCACAGAGGATTGACCGCGCTCTGCTGGAGAATGTGTCACCTGAACCAGCCCCAGAGGCAGGGAGGAGTGAGTTTATCAGTTAGGTGTAGGATAGCAGGACCAGAAGGGGACAGAGCAGGAGGTGATGTGGACAGGAATGTGGCCGGAAGCTAGTTTATGGAGGTGTAGTCGGCACTGGGAAGTTGAGTTGGGACCATGTGTGGTGACTCTCATTTCATCTGGAGGGTGTTCGACCAGGTCAGCCCAATCCTTGCCTTGCACAGAGGACGCTGTGTGTGTGTGGGAGGACGGCTGATGTGTTGGGAGGAGCAGAGTTTACAGAAAGGGAGCCCGGAGGGACCGGGACCTGGCTTCAGGGTACAGCCACAGGAGCAAGTCTGACTGATGGACAGACAGTTCTACAACTGATGGGGATTGCTCTTCCCACTTAATGGTGCCACTAGATGCTGACCCAAACTGACCTCATCGATTGTTTGCAAGGGGTCATCCCAGTATGACTTGCAGTGCTGTGTGGTCCCGTGTGGGTGTGGCTCCAAGTGCTGTGTGATCCTGTGTGGGTGTGGCTCCCGGCGCTGTGTGTGGTCCCATGTGGGTGTGGCTCCTGGCGCTGTGTGGTCCTGTGTGGGTGTGACTCCAAGTGCTGTGTGATCCTGTGTGGGTGTGGCTCCCGGCACTGTGTGTGGTCCCATGTGGGTGTGGCTCCTGGCGCTGTGTGGTCCTGTGTGGGTGTGACTCCAGTGCTGTGTGGTCCCGTGTGGGTGTGGCTCCAAGTGCTGTGTGATCCTGTGTGGGTGTGGCTCCCCATGCTGTGTGGTCCTGTGTGGGTGTGGCTCCCGGTGCTGTGGGTGTGGCTCCCGGCGCTGTGTGGTCCGGTGTAAGTGTACTCCTAGTGCTGTGTGGTTCTTTCTGTGTCAGTACTCCTATCTACATGAGGCTATTGAGTACTTGAAAAGCGGCTATTGTAATTAAGACGTGAACTTTGGATTTTACTAAATTAGTAAATTATTTAAGTTTATGGCACTGAACATTGAACTTAGGAACCCATATGTACTAGGCGAGCATTCTGTCACAGAACTGTATCTCCAGAAGTTATTTAAAGGTAAACAGCGATTTCACACAGTTGACCTGAGCGCTGGTATCTTTCCGCCGTTACGTACCTGGTGCATTGAACAAGTGAGTGGAAGGTGTGTTGGCATTGAGGAGGCTGTTATTGATCTGTGGTGTGAGGTGGGCCTTGGTGGGTGGGTCGGGTCCCAGGGAGCCCCCCACATGGTGAGAGACAGACACACCTTGCAGGCAGAGCTTATGTGGGAAGTTTTACTGGGGGAAGAGGAGAGGGAGTAGGGAAAGGGAAGAGAGAGACGGAAAAGACCTGCCTGCCTCTTCAGAGGAAGAGGGAGGGGGATGGGTAGGGCTTGTCTCTTAAAGGGATCGTTTGTGCCTTTGGACAGAGCCAGGGTACCGCTTGCCATGTGGGGTGACCACTCTGCCAGGTCCCCCCAAGGGCGGGGCCAGATGTGCCTGGATGATAACAGAGGCTATGTGGAAGGGGGAACTGTCAGCAAAAATCAGCGACTCAGAGAAACATCGAGAATTATGTCTGGGGCATTGTGGGACCTTAGTGCCGCGGGTGGTCAAGCAGGCATTGGAAAACTCTAGAAGGAAATCCTGTCAGGTACATTGGTGCATGCAATTCCCTAGAGGAGAGAGTGGTCGAGGAGGAGGTGAGGGGAAGTCGGGAGAGCGTTATGGGAGTAACCCGGGACAGTAAAAGGCTCTGTGCATATCCAGGGAGAGCATGAGAAGATCCCTGGGGTACCCGGCCAGGCATGCTCAGCCATGGCTCCCTTCAACAGCCGAGGCTGTTGGAGCCTCAAATTACGGAGCTCAACCAGAGTGGAGGAGGAGATGGGATGGCCACAGAGAAGGTAGGGGAGCGCCACCTGGCCTGTTTCATCTGTTGCTCCTCAGTGATAGCTCTGAGGAATCTGTTTCTTTCTAGGAACTAGTTCAGAAGTTTGTGGTGACGCAACACTGCTCACCAGTGGCGACACTGCACTCCAATTTCAAGAACACAGCACCACCATTATGACCACTATCCAGCCCTCAGAATTAAACCTGCTGAGCCATGTCCCTGTGTCCAACACATCAAAAACCACCACATTCTGTTTTTGAGAGAAGATCTGAAGTTGCCCAGGCTGGCCTGGAACTTGCTACTTAACCCAGGAAGTCTTTTGACTAATGATTCTCTTGCCTTGCCTCTCCTGGAGCTGGTATTGCAGGCCTGAGCCACAAGGCCTGGTTAAAAATCAGCGTTTTTCAGGGCTGGAGAGATGGGCTCAGCACGTAAGAGCACTGACTGCTCTTGCAGAGGACCCAGGCTCAGTTCCCAGCACCCACGTGGTGACTGGGGTTCCAGGAAATCCAGCCCCCTCTTCTGGCCTTAGGGAGCACTGCATCCACGCGGTACACAAGCCTGCCTGCGGGCAAAAGACTCACATACACGGACTAAAAATAACAGTGTTTTTCTAGTGCTAAACTTTATGGGGAGAACTTTTATGTTGTGTAACTAAAGAAGCATAAGCAGCACGGAATAGTTTTAAAAACATACCAGCAGGAATAAGGAACGAACAAGGTTGGTAACTTGTAAAAGTTGTTGTATTTGCAAGTGTTGACGTAGTTATGTAGAAACATAGTGGGTACCTATGTGGTCGTTGAACTGGGAGTTTTATGCATAATTGATGTCCAGTGCATGCATGATCTAGGGAACATTGTATGGGAGAGGCCCAGATATGAAGTAGTGAGACTCACAGGGTTGAGTTAGAGTTCAGGTCACGCTAACTTACCAACCAGGTGACCTTGGGAGGTGTTTTTGTTGACTCCTTTAGGTTTTGATGGAGGCGTGTTTTCATGTTGTAAGAGAGAAAATGGGAAGATGGCTGTTAATCACTTACAAGGCTGACTCAGGGGAGTTATTGGCACATGGACACTGTTCTTACATCTGACTGTGCGGGTGGTGGTGGCTCCAGTTATTATTTTTTGTTGTAAAAGGCATTGCTGTTATGGACAGACCAAGACTTCAGTTTGCCACATTTGATGGACTATAGATGGATATCAGGGTGTCCAACCTTTTGACATTGTGACGATACTGTTACTACAAATGTGTGGAGCGTAGTGGACAATATCCTGGGATTCACCGGGCAGATTGGACATGCCTAGAATGCAGGAGTCAGTGAAAGTGTTTCTGTATTCTGTTTGCTCTTATATTTTGCTTTACTGAAGAGTAATGTATCATCACTCAAGACTCTCAGCACTCACAATCAGGGGCCTTAACGTGTTCTGAAGTGCCCGGACTCACTTGATTTCCCTCCTGCAGGGTTTATCTGGGCCTACTGACCTATCTCTGTCCAGTTCCTCTCCATTCTTCTTTATAGAGATAAGGACCCTGAACATACAGCTGCAGCGTTAACATTGTGCAGCAGAGGCTGAGCAGCTGGCGGGCTCTGTTCCGGGCTCTGCTCCCTGTGACACTGAGTGACTCCCCTTGCTCACAGGATGGCCAACCCTTCTTCTCTACCTCTATTCTGTTGTTCTTTTGTTTGCTTGCTTGCTGGCTTGTTTTGTACGGAGAATAAATTCCTCGTTAGCTGCTACATTGAATGCCATGCAAAACCAAGAAGACATATCTTGAGGCAGAGCTGCAACCGGTTCCTGCACTGATGCTACTACCTCCCTTTGCCTGGTGTTGCGGGGCTCCTGGGGCCTCTGCTTTAGACTGTAGATTAGTGAAGAGGTTACGTCAGGCAACAAGCATTACCCAGGATCAAGAGCCTGTCAAGGTGCCATCTTAGCTCCTTGGGGGAAGCTGTAATAGGAGATGAGATTCACGCTAGTCCTTTGTGTTGATTGCCCGTAGTAGTTTTAGGTGTGCTAAGTCACCAGATTAGGAAAGGGCAGGAGAGATGAGGAGAGTAGGGTCTCACAGCAAGACACGTAGAGGAGCCGGTGGCTGGCATGTCCCTAAGTCTAGTGCCCCTGGGTCTGTGACTGTGCCCTTGCATGCAGCGACTCACGAACCGTGTCCTCAGTGTCGCCCGCCACCCACTTGGCATTTCCTTTGGTTTTCTTGCAGCACTGGAGGTCCAGCCCCAGGACTTAATGCACACTGTGTGCCACTGCCTACATCCCCGGCTGTAGGAGTGAACCCCACAAAGCTATCCGCCCATCATGGCGGGGTCAAGGTAGAGATAAAAGGAAGTGAAAGGAAAAGGGGCTTCTTTTTTTCTCCTGGAAGCCAGCCACGCTTCTAACTCCTGGTCTGTGCGACTCTGTCTCTCTCTCTCTCTCTCTGATAAATAAATATATTGTTTTCCCTATATAGCATCGAATATCGTTATACCCGGCTCTAGTGCTTTCCTTTAAGCTAGTATCTTTTACTCAGATGTATTCTTGAAACTCAGATGCATTCCCTAGAACGGTTAAAAATGTCATTAGGAGTCAGTGAGTGGGTAAAGGCTCTTCCTGCCGCACCTGAGTTTGAGCTCCAGAGCCCACACGGTAGAGGGAGGGAACCGACTCCCACCTCTACATGTGTGTTGTGGCATGCCCCTGCCTCATGACACGCTCAAATGCACTTGCACACACGATTTGTTAAAATAAAATAATATAATAAACCATGTTGCTGATTAGCTAAATACTTCCAGGAGTTTCCAGGAGCAGCTATGGCGTCTTCAGAGCCGCTCTCTGGCCTTGACAGGACTTGAGCAAAAGAGATAAGTTTCTTAGTGAGTGTTGGTGTTAACCGAAGCCCTGTGCCCCTGAAGCCTGACTTAATGCTCTCCCGTTCCCCCCCCTTTTTTTAATGATTTATTTATTTTTGTTTTATGTGGCTTGGTGTTTTGCCTGCATCTGTGTCTGTATCAGACCCCTTGAATTTGGAGTTACAGATGTGAGCTGTCATGTGGGTGCCGGGAATTGAACCCAGGTCCTCTGCAAGAGCAGGCAGTGCTCTTAACCACTGAGCCATCTCTCCAGCCCATGTTCTCCCATTTGTGAGCCACCAACCTGTCCTTTGTACGGGGCCATAGTCTGGGAAATCCCAGGCAACGCCTTTATGTGATTTTTCTGATTTTTGGTAATTAATAGTTTGGTGTTCTCAAAGTTTTGTTTTTTTCTGTCGCTAGCCTACTCCCAGGCACAACGAATGTGCACCAGTAGGGTAGGATAGCCACCTTCCAAACCAAAGCGAGGTGAGTCCTTCATAGGTGAAGTGTAGTGCAGAGCTGTGAACAATTGTCCTTTCTTTGTCTAAATAGACAGTGTGTCAACCCTTCAATACAGTCCCTCATGCTGTGGTGACCCCCAACCATAAAATTATCCCATTCCTACTTCATAACTGTCATTTTTGCTGCTGGTATGAATCAAGGGTTGTTCGGCCGCTAAAGGGTTCACAGCCCAAGGGTTGAGGACCACTCATCTGAAGCACAGCAGTTAGAAAGCACAGCTTTCTCAGTTAGGGCAAGCGTGTAGGTTCTCTGAGGGAAGCCTTAACCTTGTTACCGTGGTCCTGCTGTGCAGAAGTTCCTTCTGCTCGGGAGATGGACTCTGGTAGGACTTTCCTCCAAAGTGTGGTGTCACAGCAGACACAGGCACAGCTAGGGTTTCGTTTTTGTTTTTGTTTTTTCTGTATGTTTGCCTACCATCTCCAGTGCCAGAACTCATGATGTACATGACCCTGGGCATAAAATGTCCTGAGTTCTAGACTGATGGAACATTGGGCCATTAACTGCCCAGCTCAGGGGTCTGAGTGGCTCTCTGCACTTTCTAAGGATGTCCTGGGGTACCAAAGAGTCAAATGTCCTGAGTTCTAGACTGATGGAACATTGGGCCATTAACTGCCCAGCTCAGGGGTCTGAGTCACTAGTGGCTCCCTGCACTTTCTAAGGATGTCCTGGGGTACCAAAGAGTCAAATGTCCTGAGTTCTAGACTGATGGAACATTGGGCCATTAACTGCCCAGCTCAGGGGTCTGAGTGGCTCTCTGCACTTTCTAAGGATGTCCTGGGGTACCGAAGAGTCATCTGGAAGCTGGACTCTTACATCCATCAGCTCATGTGAGACACACACACAACCCCAGCCTGTAGATTTATACGTGTCTATTCGTTGTGCATTGTGGGTTGTGACAGCAATTGGTGTCATCGCCCCCCCCCCCAGTGTGGTACTGGAACCCGGGGCCTGTGTGTGCTTGGCAAGTGTCCTAACCCTGAGCCACACACCTCTCCCCTGCCCCTGTACCTTGAATTTAATAGGCAGCTCCTCTACTTACCTTCCAGGGGGGAAGTGCCAGTCTCTTGTAGCATTGTACGGAATGATTTCCCTCCCCTAAAATTGGTTGCACGGGATTAGTATTGTCTTGTAACTTTGCTCTCCTTTCGTCTGCTTGTCCTTTGTGTATGCCTTGTGCTATGCTGGGCTCTGAGAAAGAACACAGTGATTATTCTTCCCCTGAATGGAGTGTGCTTCTAGACGAGAGACAGGTCAGTGACTGAAGCATGCTGGGAAAACTGCTTCTAGTGACTAAGCAGCTGAGAGGACAGCTGGGTGAGCAGAACAGGTTTAAGCTCTCTCTGCCTCAGCGCTCAGTGCTCTCGTCTGTGAAATGGATGCGATTCCTCTCGTGTTTGGTCGTACTTCTTTAATTTTATGTGTATGCGTGTTTTGCGTGCGTGCGTGCGTGCGTGCGTGCGTGCGTGTGTGTGTGTGTGTGTGTGTGTGTGTGTGTGTGTGTGTGTGTGTACCAAGTCCATGCCTGCTCCCCGAGAAAGACAGAAGAGAGGACATCAGATGCTCTGGAACTTGGGTACTGAGAACCCAACCCAGGTCCAAGGAACTACTGAGCTCTCCCTCCAGCCCTCGTTTGGTTATTGTAAGAGGCTTGTCTGTAATTGTAGCATTCAAGCAACGGAGGCAGGAGGATTGTGAGTTCCAGGCCAACCTGGGCTGCCTAGGGAGGTTCAAGCCAACCTAGGTTAAATAGTGAGACCTGTCTCAACCAATCAATGAATATAAGATATTGTAGATCTATAGAAAACTTGAAGGAATAACTACATCATGCTTAACATTTCACTTACATTACCTTTTCTCTCCTGAACTTTTAAAAGTGAGTGGTGGATACCAGTCCTCCCACGCCCCCCCCAAAGCTTGAACACTCTCCTCGTAGGCATGACATCCTGCGTTTCCACAGCTGTGGTTTTGTAGAATGCTCAAGAATGGCAGAGCCTGCTGCTGCCTGACACCCATTGGGTACTCAGGATGTCTTCAGTCATCCTGGCAATGTTTTCTGGTTTTTCACCTTTTGAGGTGCCTGGTCTCATCGCGTCTAGTTGCTGTATTTGTTTGGTTTTTCTGGCGCATGTCTCCCGACCCCTCACCCAGGATCCTTTTTCTTTCTGAGGCTTCGGCCTTCCCCGTGGGATGGTTTCAATGATGTGCTCTCTCTCCTCAGCCCCTGCGGTGTCAGCTACCCTGAAAGCGAGAATGGATCTGGATGTGGTTAACATGTTTGTGATTGCGGGCGGAACCCTGGCCATCCCAATCCTGGCGTTCGTTGCTTCTTTTCTCCTGTGGCCTTCAGCACTGATAAGAATCTATTATTGGTAAGTCAACTCTGTCCTTGAGGTTCTTAAAGTGTCACAGTATTGTCCTCCCGACTGTGTCCTGGTCAATCGTTTCTTGTCGTTGTGTCATGGAATATTTCAAACGAAGAAAAGTTGACGGGCATACATCTCGTTTAGAGATCTTTAAAGTTTGTTATGTATATTTATTTTTATGTGTATGGTGTCTTGCCTGTGTGCATGTCTATGTACCATGTGCATGCCCGGTACGCACAGAGGCCAGGAAAGGGTGTTGGATGCCCTGAGATCGGAGTTACAGACGATTGTAAGCTGCCGTGTTTGTGGCCCTCTGAAGCAGCAGTGAAGCAGTGACAGCTCCTAACTGCTGAGACATCTCTCCGTCCCCTCTTCTGTTGTGTTCTGGATCTGGCAGGCACTGCAAAGCGGGTAGACTGTTTGAAATTTCTGACAGCGTGTGTGCCCTAGGGGCCACTCCGCCCCCCAAGGCTACACAGTGGCGGGTACACACATGGCACAGAATGTTGTTAAGATTCACCCTAGGCTGTTTGGGTTTTACCATTTTATTTGGGTTTTGAGGCAGGATCTCAGTAAATAGCCATAGCTGTGGCTAGCCTAGAATTCTATGTGGACCAGGGTGGCCTTGAACTCACAGAGATCTGCTTGCCTCTGCTTTGGGAAGGCATGTGCCACCACAGCCGCTTGGTTTTTGGTGTTCTTAACCGCCGAGCCATCTTTCCAGCCCTGGTTTTTTTTGGTGTTCTGAGATGAGACCCTGTAGCAAAAAGGCTTGCTTCATACTTCCTGTGGAGATGACTCCTGAGCCTCCCTCCTTCACTCCCCAAAGCCTGGATCCCAGGAGTGGGCCAGCATGCCCAGCCTGGCCCTACACTGTTAATTACTGTGGGGAGAGAGACAAATGAAGCTTCCAGATATCTGTCATTCTTACTGAAAAGTTTCCGCGCAAGCGGATAAGCCTCTCTGCCGATGCAGCAATCCAAATCAGACCAAATCAAACCGAATTAGAAAAAGCCCATGTTTAATGGATACAACGCTCCCGGATGAACTTCAAGCCCCACAGAGGGGACATGGGAAAGAGAGACCAGAAAAACCACAAGTCTGTTTTCTGGGAGGCAGTTTAAGTACCCTGTGGGAGTGGTCTTGAGCATCTCTGGGGGGGAGGGGTCATTTTGTGGGCTTTCTGAGATGCAGAGGGTTTGGAGGGAGATGTGGAAAGGGGGGCTTGGGTGGAACTTCCACCGTAACCTCCCAGACTCTTTGGGTCTATGGACGCCAGGGGGCCGGGGTGAGGCTTCCACGATAACATTAGCACCTTCATTCCTGCCCTGTCTCCCTATCATCTGTATTTTCTTCAGGGTTGAGACCTTAAATCTATGTTTTAGCTTTCGTTTTAATTTTTTAAAAATTTATTATCATCGGGGGAGGCTTTTATGCCACAACTCATGTATGGGGGTCCGAGGACAGTTGTGGAATTGTGGGCCCTATTGTTACTGTCTTGAGATAGTGTCTCATTACAGCCCCAGCTGGTCTGGGGGCTCTGCATAGCTGAGCCTGGTCTTGAACTCAGGATCCCCCCGTTTCTGCTGCCCAAGCACTGGGATTGCAGGGACAAGCCATCATGCCTGGCCGTGGAATCTGTTTATTACCAAGGGATATAAATATCCCCCACTATAACAGGGAAAATTTGACATGGAAAGTGACTGATGGAAGATAGTAAAAAGTATACACGATTGCCTTAGAGAGTCGTGCTAAGTTCTAGCCTAGCGTTGTTGCCCGCTGAAGGACTGAGCCCGGGGCCTGTGCACGCTGGGCGGGGCTCCTGGCAGTGCCTTGCATCTTGAAAGGTGAGCACTTGAAAAGAAAGTGTGCTGTGCTTCATTGATTTTTTTTTTCCATGCCACTGCCCACTTAGGAAATAAAGTAGCCCCTCCCCCAGCCCCTTCGTGATGAGATGAACACTGGGTCCTCTCCATACTGCAGATAAACCCCGGGGGATTTATGTGGGCCTTGGGCAATTAGAAGGAAGAAGGGCACCGGGAGACTGATGTGCGCTCTCTCTCTCTCTCTCTCTCTCTCTCTCTCTCTCTCTCTCTCTCTCTCTCTCTCTCTCTCTCTCTCTCTCTCTTTTTCTCTGTCCTCCTTTTTCCCCCTCCCTTTTGTTTCACTGGCTTGTGGAAAATTCCACCAGCTGCTCAGGCTCCCAGCCTTGAAAAGCAGCACACAGACAGGACAACGCAATTCTAACACAGGACAGCGCAGTTCTATGATCGTTCATTCCCTGTGCCTTTTCTGTGTGGGCTGGGCTTGTCCCTCCTTCACAGGGCCACCCAGGGCCCACCCCTGCACTGACAAATCAGACCTCGAGCTGCCTAGATGCCTCTGTGGTGCCAGGACTCTTCCTGTGTAACCCTGGACATGGAGAGGTCAGAGCCTCGTCTCCTCCTCACGGCCCTGCCCAGGACCCTGCTCCTCCACACACATATGCCATCATTGCTAAACAGAGAATGCGGTCTGCAGGTGTAGACTGTAGCCATGGATACGGTTGCACGCTGGTGTGGTTCCTCCATCCGCTGTGGGCGAGAACCAGCCTCAGTGCTGTGGGACTCTCCCATGTTCCCTGGGCTCTTGGAGAGCACATTTTCAGAATCAGGCTATCAGAGTAGTTTTAGCTTGTTTTTGTGTTTCCAAAGAGGGAAAAGACCTTCCTAGCAAATAATGTTACTGTTTTACCGAGTTCTAGGTGGCATACAATTCGCTATGTGAAAGTGTACGGTTGAGTGGTTCTATTGTATTTATATTATTGTACTGTTGTGACCACTCCATCATTCTAGATCTTTTCCAGTCCAAACATCAGTAGCATTCCCATATGCCAGAAACAAATGGAAAATGAAGAAAGTTAAATGCTACCTCTTACTCTAGTGCCGATAACTCTCAGATTATCGGCATCCAAAGCGACGGTGATGGTGAAGTAGGCAAAGGCGATTGCCACACAGGCTGATGAGCTGGGTCCCCGGAAACAGAGGTGGAGGGAGAGGACGGACTCCCAGAGGTTGTCTTCTAACCCCCACGGGTGTGTCTCACTCACACAATCATCTCACACGTACACACACACACACACACACACACACACACACACACACACTCATTGGAAGGAGAGAACTGACTCCCAAAAGTTGTCCCCTGACCTCCATATTTTCATTGTAGCACACACAGACACACACAGACAAATAACAACAATAACTTTAAAAATTTAAACAATAAAGGTGACATTCTCTTCAAACCCCTTTTAAGAAAGAACATGAAAGGGCCCTCCATAAAAAACTAAAACATATCCGTGAGGGACAGTTGATAATACCTAAATCCCCAGAAGGATAGACTGTTTTGTGGGTTGAAAGATTTTTTTTTCTTGTAGAGATGTCATATTTTTGTAAATGGCCTCTAAATCAAGTGGCTGACCATCTTAAACCCCAGTAGGTTTTCCTGATGGCATTTGATTAGCAGAGCTAGGGTCGTATGGGAAGAGGGGCCCTCAACTGAGACCATGGCTCCATTAGGTTGTCATTTCCTCGATTAATGACTGATGTGGGAGGGTCCAGCCCACTGTGGGTGGTGACACCCTGGGCAGGTGGTTCTGGTTGTATGGAAAAGCAGGCTGACAAGCCGGCAAGCGGGGTCCCCTCCACGGCCGCTGCTCCGCCTCCTGCTTCTGGGGCCCTGCCTTGAGTTTCTACCTCGGCGTCCCTTGATGGACGGTGACCCAGGCCATCCAAGCCTAATAAACCCTTTTCTTCCACAGGTTCCTTTTGGTCATGGATCTCTTATCGCAGTAATAGAAAGTGAAATGGAACAAGTAGATTCTTTCACTAGTTTAGAAATATCTAATTTTATATGATCCTTCAAGTTGGCAGGAAATAGCCTCATTTTACAGACTCATGAAGAAGTCTGTAATGAGCACTGACCTCTTTTCCGTGAAGGCAGAGTGAGCTAAAATTAATTTCTTAAAAAAAGGCTTCCATTATTTAGGTGGTAAAAACGCATACCGAGGGTGGCAATGTGTATGTGCAGTTAGTTTGTTCATAAAGAACATGCACCCAGCATATATGAGGAATTGCTCTTGTACAAATGAAAAAGAGCATACAACCCGGAAAATGGACAGGAAACTCAGATATTTTACAGAGGTGTAATTTTTGGCAGTCATTCTGTTCCGTTGGTCACAAGGGACACTCCAATCCACAATGGATGTAAGCCCTTGGGAGGCTGAGCAAGAGGGCGCTTAAGCTTAAGCCTTCAAATTTGAACTGAAAACAGCATACAGTGAGATGCTATTACCTGCCTATCAGAGAGTTAAAAACAAAAGCAACGGCCTGGGGACATGGCACAGCAGTTAAGAACCTTTGCAGCTTCAAGTTCAGGTCCCAGCACCCACATGCTGGTTTACAGCATCCGTAACCCCAGTTCCAGAGGGTCTCCCTTTCCTAGCCTCCGAGAGCGCCGCGCATGCATGCGCAGACACAATAGATGCAGACAGAATGCACATAAAAATGGATATGCTTCAACAGACGACCTGAGTAGCAGTTCTGAGTGCTGGCAAAAGCACAGTGGCGCTTAGTGGGGCTACTTAGTGGGGCTACTTAAGTGGGGCTACTTCGTGGGGCTACTTAAGCGGGGCTACTTCGTGGGGCTACTTAAGTGGGGCTACTTCGATGAATGGCTGTGAAGTTTGTGTCTAAAACAGCTGTCTCACGGCTCTGGAGGCTTGGAGCATGAAAGTGGGGTTAGTTCTCTTCAGTGGTTGAGGAAGAATCATCCCTCGCCTCCTCTGAGTCTCCAATGGATGCTGCTGCTCCGTGAGGTGTGACTGCATTATGCTGGTCTTAACCTCCGTTTTCACGCCCCTTCCCTACGTGTTTTCCAGAGCTGGGGCAGGAACCTAGCTTCACCCGGCTCACACTGTAGGGAGTATCTTACTGCGGCATCACACACACACACACACACACACACACACATACCTGGCTCACACTGTAGGGAGTATCTTACTGCGGCATCACACACACACACACACACACACACACACACACACACACACACAGCTCACACTGTAGGGAGTATCTATCTTACTGCGGCATCACACACCCAGCTCTTCTGTTTGTCTTTCTGTGGCCTAATTTTTTTACTTACGTTTTCTTTCTCATTAAGGCTTCTTCTTATCTCCCTGGGACAAATTATTCTTTGAAGTATAATTAAGAGGCCAGCTTAAAAAGAATGACTGATGGCTAATGCCAGATTGCTTCCTAGAAAGGACATTAGAACTGGTCTAAAAGAAGGGAGGGAACACTCTCCTTTTCTGATTTGAAAATCTACATACACAGCTGTAAAAGGGTGAGAGTTTCAGGGCTGGAGCAGTGGCTCAGTGGATAAGAGCTCTGGCTGCTCCTCCAGGGGACCCAGGTTTTGACTCCCATCACCTAAATGAATGCTTGCAGCCAGTGGGTACCAGGGCATGCACTCGGTATACAGACATACATACATGCAGGCAAAACACCCACACATAGGTTTTTTTTTTAATTAGGATTTGTCTGGGTGTAATGGCACACGCTTTTAATCCCAGCTCTTGAGAATCGGAGGCAGGCAGATCTCTGTGAGTCCAAGGCCAGTCTGGTCTACATAGTGAGTTCTGGGACAGCCAGGACTGCATAGAACCTGTATCAGATTGTGGTCTACCCTCACTGGCAGCATGATAGTTCATGATGAAAATCCTAATTTTTGCCGGGCTTTGGTGGCTCACGCCTTTAATCCCAGGGCTCGGGAGGCAGAGGCAGGTGGATCTCTGTGAGTTCGAAGCCAGCCTGGTCTACAGAGCGAGTTCCAGGACAGCCTCCAAAACAACACAGAGAAACCCTGTCTCGAAAAACCAAAAAAAAAAAAAAAAAAAAGAAAGAAAAAAAAAGAAAAGAAAAGGAAGAAAGAAAAGAGTAAGTGAGAAACTTGATTTTTTATTTTATATTTATTTATTTAGGAATGTGCTCCGTCTCTCCCTACCTCCTCTCTTTCCTTTCCTACTCCTCCCCTCGTCCTCAGCTTCCACGTGGCAGTGCCTTGTGCACATACCCACACTTCCGGTTTGTAGATACAAGCAAACATGATTACATAGCCTGAATTCTCTCCCCGCTTGTGGCACACAAGACGTTAACACTGTTTCCAGTCACTTGCCTTCACAAGACCTGGCTGCAGCTGTGGCGCAAAGTCTGTTACAGAGACAATATCGGGGCGACTTAATTGTCCTTCATCTCTGAAGGGATTTCTTTTGTTCCCCCGGAGCTGAGAGTTCAGTTTGTCTCAATGGTATTTCCATATGGAAATGGACCTGGGGCCAAACCACGGCCTTTGCCAAGGGTTACCCAACTAACAGAAGCTGAGCCATCAACCTTCGCAGTTTGCCGTGAGGGGTGAAGCCAGAGAGCGGGTCAGCACGCGTAGGTCTCGAGCAGTTGAGTTAGTTCCGGCAGAGGGCGGTCTAACAGAAAGGTGTTGCGTGTTCTGTTATTTTGTTCTTCATTCAGGTGCTAGTTCCTTTCTCGCTTTTAATTTTTCCGTGTCTTTATTACCGTATGTTAATTGCACCTCATGATGAGTGTTACGATGACATTTCCGCACATGTGTGTAAAGTATGTTGATCCTGTGACTCTCTGCTGTCTATCCGTCACCCCCCAGGACACACACACGCGCACACTCACAGGCACACACGTACAGGCACGCACGCACACGCGCATGCACACACACACACGCACACTGCTTTCCGAACACACGTGACGTGCTTGTCTTCTTAGTGCTCCTTGAGGGGTAAACAAAGGACAAATGCAGGAAGAAGCTCCTGTATTGGCACCAAGCAGGATCCCGAGAGGACCCGCTCCCTGCCTGAAGTCGTGTATTGTCACCAAGCAGGATCCCGAGAGGACCTGCTCCCTGCCTGAAGCCGTGCACCCTGGTCACTCTGCTTGTGTCTGGCCTTCCTTCACCCTAGGTACTGGCGGAGGACCCTGGGTATGCAAGTCCGCTACGTGCGTCACGAGGACTATCAGTTCTGTTACTCCTTCCGGGGCAGGCCAGGACACAGACCGTCCATCCTCATGCTCCATGGCTTCTCTGCACACAAGGACATGTGGCTCAGCGTGGTCAAGGTACGGTCCCCGACTCTTCTGTCTTAGGAGGAGAGGATTGGGACCACGGTTCAAATCCGTCTTAAAATTAGTGAAGTGTGTTACTCAGACCCTTTTCTGTGTTACCCAACTGTTTGAGCTGAGTAGTATTTAAAGCTGTGTCTCTGGAGTCTTCTTACCACGGGGATATTTTTGGGCAGGGGGGGAGAGATGGGGGTGTTTCAACACAGCTCCATCACGGAAGTGCCATGATGCTCAGGGCTAGGCCTTTCCCAAAAGTTTTTGTTCTCATACTTCCTTCTGCTTTTCTTTTTGTTTGCTTGTTTTTTTATTTTTTTGTTTGTTTGTTTTTTCAAGATAGGATTTCTCTGTATTGTTTTGGAGGCTGTCCTGGAACCTGCTCTGCAGACCAGGCTGGCCTCGAACTCACAGAGATCCGCCTGCCTCTGCCTCCCGAGCCCTGGGATTAAAGGCGTGCGCCACCAACTCCTGGCTTTCTTAATCATTTGGAGAAATTGCTTGATGTGGCAGCTTTTCAGGATCCTGTACTTTGGGAGCTTGGTGGGGGGTAGGGGACGGGGACTGAGGCTGACATTTGCCTCGAGAGAGCAGCATCCCAGGTTCCTACTTCAAGTGGGACAATATCTGAGAGATCATGAGTGTCACTGGGAGGGAAAGCACATGCCATCGGTCCTTGTGTTCTTCCCCCCGTAAAGCCACCACGGGGACGGTCATCGTCAATCCTTAATTCCCTTTGTATCCCTCCCCCCCTTTGTTAAATATCTTTGATAACTGATGTTTCTCACACTCATGGCTAAAGTTGGTGCATCTTTTAAACAGAGAGGAAAGGCGATTTGGGAGAATAGTCGTCTCAGGAATTAGACCCTGATGAAGAAGAAGAAGAAAAAAAAAAAAAAGAAAGTTGAAACCAGCCTTGTGGCTTTGGGGAAAAGCATTGCTGGCCAGGGCTCTGGGAGCCATCTCTTCTAGTTCGGAGACATTAGCCACGCGACTAGACGAAGAATGGCGTGGGTGGGAAGGGAGGTAGCACTGAGCAAACAGTATTAAGTTGAAGTTGCTGGGCTGTTGGTGGCTTGGACAGAAAAGCGCTGACCGTGCAAGCCCGATAAGCTGAATTTGACCCCTGGAGCCCAGAGAGAGGTGGAGAGACTCGATACCTAAAACATAACGGGAAATATTTTTTTAAAAATTAAGTGCAAGATGTAAGGCTGCTGGCCCGGGTTTCCACATCCTCTCTCCAGTCACCCACCAAGCCTCTTTTCATCTGTGCGGGCGTCTTGGGGCCCCCTCCTCTCTCCGAGGGTCTGTTGGCACTCAGCCACACTTATCACGTAAGACGCGTGGAGGCTCAGAAACATCACCTCAGTGGCTGTCTGGGTCACTGGGTAGGAGGCGGCAGTCATCGCCCCAGAGAGACGGCAGGTGCGTTATTTTGTAGATGGATATACTGACTTTCCGGGTCTGTGTCTTCAGTTCCTCCCAAAGAACCTGCACTTGGTCTGCGTGGACATGCCTGGTCATGAAGGCACCACCCGCTCCTCCCTGGACGACCTGTCCATAGATGGGCAAGTTAAGAGGGTGCACCAGGTAAGCAGGAGGCTTGACTCTCCATAGTGTGTCTTCTTGGCACACGGCAAGCAGGCGAGAGTTGCCAATCCACAGCCACGTGTGCCTTCCAAAGCACATATGAATCACGGGGCTCTCCTAGATAAGGGGTGTAATAGGGCAAAGTGTCGGGTTTTACTGGGGTGAGGGGATCTCTGGCGTCTTAGCTGTAACCATGCCTCCTTTCCATTTCTCTTCCTAGTTTGTAGAACGCCTTAAGCTGAACAAAAAGCCCTTTCACCTTATAGGCACCTCGATGGGTGGCCACGTGGCTGGGGTATACGCTGCTTACTACCCATCTGACGTCTGCAGCCTGTGTCTGGTGTGCCCGGCTGGTGAGTTACTCGACCAGAGCAGCCTTACAAGTGACTTGAATTTGAAGAGGCCTGCTCCCGGCTTCTGTTCAAGACTGACGTGGGCTGCAGAGAGAGGCGATGCTTTCTAGTAACTCTGGCCAGATCACGGTTGCGCGATGAGAAACCCCAGCCAGACTGACTTAACTGGGGCCAGGTCTGCTCCACGGGAGAAGGAGAGAGGTGGTGGACACTTGCACGGCGCTGGGTGGCACCTCGTACTCACGGCTGAGATACATCAGCTTCCAACATTTCGATCCCCAAGAGCTAACATCTTTTTTCTTATAGATTTAATGTTCACCTAACCCTTTGAAATGAAGGTCCCATTTTGTTCTTCTTTTGCCAAAAACTTTACTCGTTTTAAGATTCATAATTTTTGTCAGTATGTGTTGTATACCGAGTGGTGAGTTTGTAAGAAGCATTTTCACCCAAGGTATCATGTACTTTGAACAGTCATCTCCACCACTACGTGCCACACCCCTCAGTGGTCCCCTTTTTCTCAAATAGACACATGGCAAGAGCTTTTTAAAAGGCCAGTGGACTCTAGTTTCTCCTCTCATATTTGTGTATGTATGTTTTCATATATTTGTACAGACATCTTACAACAATTGGACCTGTAACTCCAGAAATTACTACCTTAACTTGGGGTTTTCAATGGATTTTTTTTTCTCCCTTAAGACCTCAAATTTAGATTGTTCGCCCATGGTGATAAAATAGTAATTTCTCTCTCCCACTGTTCTTCCGTCTTTTTTTTAAATTCTTTTTCTTTTTTCAATAATTTATTTTTATTTTATGTGCATTGGCCTTTTGCCTGTATGTATGTCTGTATGTGTCAGATCTTGGAGTTACAGACAGTTGTGAGCTGCCATGTGGGTGCTAGGAATTGAACCCCTGTCCTCTTGGAGGGGGGCCCACAAGTTGAGAGCCACTGTAGCCAGAACCTAGACATCAGCTGGACACTTGCGGCTCTTTTTCTCTGTGTAACAGCCCAGGCTGTCCTGGAGCTCACTCTGTGGACCAGGCTGGCACTGAAATCACAAAGATCCACCTACTTCTGTCTCCCGAGTGCTGGGAGTAAAGGTGTGCGCCACCACCACTTTTGTTTTTTTGGTTGTTTGGTTGGTTTTGTTTTGTTTTTTGAGACAGGGTTTCTCTGTGGCTTTGGAGGCTGTCCTGGAACTAGCTCTAGTAGACCAGGCTGGTCTCGAACTCACAGAGATCCACCTGCCTCTGCCTCCCGAGTGCTGGGATTAAAGGCGTGCGCCGCCACCACCCGACCCACCACCACTTTTAATGTGGGTTTTCTTGCCTGGAACTTTGCCAGTTATGGCTGGTCTAGCTAGCAAGCTGGCCACAGGGTCTCCTGTCCTTATCTCCAAGGGTTGAGATTGCAGGTGTCTGTTAACGGCTTCTGCATGGGTTCTGGGGTTCTGAACCCCCACCCTCGTACTTGCAGCAAGTCACATTCCGGGCCTTGACGTATCTATAGGATGTGCCCAGTATTAAAGATGAAACTGCCTGTTTGTTTTAGATTTATTTATTTATTATGAATACAACATCCTGCCTCCATGTATGTCTGGCAGGCCGGAAGAGGGCTCCAGATCTCATTACAGATGGTTGTGAGCCACCGTGTGGTTGCTGGGAATTGAACTCAGGACCTCTGGAAGAGCACTCTGTGCTCTTAACCTCTGAGCCACCTCTCCAGCCCCCTGTTTGTTTGTTTTTAAGGCAGAGTCTTATTGTAGTCAAGGCTGCCTTAAACTCCTAGTCTTTCCATGTCTATCTCCCACATTCTGGGGTTACAGGCTATGCCTAGCTTTTTTTCCTCCCCCCTGAAATCTAGTTCTGTCGCTAAATTAAACCAAGAAATGGCTCTGTCGTGGTGGAAATGACTCTTTTCCTGCTACATAATGTTAGCTGTCAGATCCTCTCGTGTGTCTGTCATGCAACAGTGGGCAGCCTCCAAAGGAGTCTCAGCCCTCACTTAGTGTCCTCGTGGAGAGAGAGAGAGAGAGCCTGTGGGCTGCACTTCACTCTCCTGGGTCTTTGCCTTGACCACAAAGGGGAGGGCATCCAGGTCAAGGGAGGGAGCCGCCGGCCATGGCAGCCCTGTGCTCTTTCCAATGTACCCTTCCGTCAGTCTCCTCCAAATAACTCGGGCACGGAAACACCGCGAGTGAGGTGCTCCCCATACTCTACCATTCTCGTTCCCTGGTAGCTTGTTGAAATGCAGACTCTGAATCAAGAGGCCTGGGGACAGCCTGAGTTTCTGCGTACCATGCCAGTCTGTGGCCATGGTGCGCACAATCAGTCGTGAAAACATAATGCTGTTGTTTTAATCTGGACTACCTTAGAATTTATTATGTAGCCCACACTGGCCTTGAACTTGTGACCCTCCTTCTCTGCCTCTTGAGGCATGTGTGTACCACTGTGCTTAACTCCAACTCTAATAAAACACCTTGGATGGTATTTTTTTTCTGTATTTCTCTGAATACGATTTTTGCTTTGTACAAGGGTGCCAGTACCAATTAAAAAGTGATCTCATAGCCGGGTGGTGGTAGTGCACACCTTTAATCCCAGCACCCAGGAGGCAGGGGTAGACAGATCTCTGAGTTCAAGGCCGGCCTGGTGTGCACAGTGAGTTCCAAAGACGACAACATCAACAACAACAACAAAAAGCCAACCAAACAAAAGTATCTCCTAGTGACAGGAACCTGACAGATCAACCTGGCCTCCTGGGCTTGTCATGGGGGGGCACGGTAACACCTGATACTTGCATCATCGGGCTCTTTTGTTTTGCATTCCAGGACTGCAGTATTCGACTGACAATCAGTTTGTACAACGGCTCAAAGAGCTGCAGGATTCAGCGGCCATTCAGAAAATTCCCTTGATCCCGTCGACCCCGGAGGAGATGAGTGAGATGCTCCAGCTCTGCTCCTATGTCCGATTCAAGGTGCCCCAGCAGGTACAGTCCGTCAGTGCCACGCCCTTGCTCCCAAGGAGCATCCCCCAGCGTGTCCTGCTGCATCTACTCTCTGACTCCATTCTGTCTGCTCCATTTACTCAACATGTAGCTCACCAGATGCCTGTGACACATGTGTCAGACACTGTGCTGAACACTATGGTAACTATGTCACACAGGGAATTTCCCTGGACAGATTTAGTCCAATGCGGGAAGCAGACAAGGACAACTAACAGACAAAAATCTACAAGTTGAAATGAATTTTAGAGGTGAGATGAAGATGGTATAAATATTTAAACTGGGCAGAGGGGTAGCCTTGATGAGGTCATCTGAAGGATCGTGTGTACAGTGGAAAAAACATACACAGGCTCATGGCAATGGAAAGAGAAAGCTGATGGGGACGGCCTTCTGCATATGTGTTTCTCTTATTGGTTGGCGAGTGAAACACTGTTTGGCCAATAGAGGCAGGAAGGCAGGCGGGTTAGGAGACGAGAGTTCTGGGAAAGGCAGGCAGAGAGAGAGAGACCGCCAGGAGATGCCGTGTAGCCAAGGAAGGAGTAACAGGTTCGGAAGCTTCTCCAGTAAGAGAAGACCACGTGGAAATACTTAGATTAATAGAAATGGGTTAAATAATTAGGAGGGAACTAGCCGGTAAGAAGCCCTAGCCATCGGCCAACAGTTTAGTAATTAGTATAAGTCTTCATGTGCTTATTTAGAGCTGATGGATGGCAGAACCTGGTGGGACAAGAAACCCCACCTACAGAAGGCAAGTGTCTGGAGCCTAGAGAGTGAAGGAGAAGGGAGTTGGGAAGGGAGTCAGGAGCTAAATCACATTCTCAATTTAAAAAGGTAAAAATAGTCTTAGACTTGTACGTTTAAAAATATATATATATATTTTGGATGAACACGAAGGGCTTTTTATCTATGAGGGGTTATATTTGTTGGTGCTGAAACTCAAAAAAAAAAGTTAAAACACAAAGATAAACATTTGCACAAGAGATGATATTATCTTGTTATGCAGGCACCAGATAATAGTGTGCTTTTAAGAGGAGGTAGGCGAAAGGAGTGGCGTTGAGTGTCACTGAGTATAGCCCAGGATGAATGATGTTGAGTGTCACTGAGTATAGCCCAGGATGACCTCAGGGTCTCTCTCAGAAGAGCTGCTTGGAGAAGATGTAGTCTGTCCTTGTAGTTTGTGGGACTGAGTCTGCTTTTTCTAAGCACAGTGGCACAGACACAGAGAGACTGAACGGGGGCTACTTAGGATATACTATGGGTTGGAGGTGATGGTGGTGGGGACCGGGGTGGGCGCACCAGCTGAGATGTGTCGTGTGGAAGAATGGACAGGACCTGTGGCAGGTTGGAAGTGGTTGGCAGTGAGTGGCCGTTGGTGACTTCCAGTTCTAAAAGCCTCCAAGGATGTGTCAAGTAGACAGTTGGACATTTAAGTGGTGCAGATGGACGGCTGGCCTGAAGTAACGCAGAAGCCATAGGCAGAGGAAGACACTGGGGGTCATGTGTCTCAGTGAGGCAGTTTGAGGAAAGTCCACAGCTGAGGGGCCATAGGCAGAGGAAGACGCTGGGGGTCATGTGTCTCAGTGAGGCCTTTGGGGAAAGCCCACAGCTGAGGGGCCATAGGCAGAGGAAGACTCGGGGGGTCATGTGTCTCAGTGAGGCCATTTGAGGAAAGTCCACAGCTGAGGCTCTATGAACCCGGGTTATCTCCTGGGTTGTAGGCAATGAACCCTGCCTCAGGGTAAGGTGAGTTGGTCCTAGGCTGTGAGAAAGAATGCCACACAGACTCTGTGACCTTGACTTAGGAAGTGCAGCACATTTCTGGGGGAAGCATCCACAATCTATGTCCCCGATATCTTTAGTCATGAAGGGGCACTGTCCCCTGCCGGCTATGACGTCTTTAGGATATTGTGACCAAAGGAGACTCCGTGCTTTTAGTTGTCAGGGATAAGAAAACACTGGGAGAAAATACATGTTGGTTTCAGAGGCCTTTCTTTCCCAGGAGGGTAGGGCCACCTGCCATTGAGTCCATTAGCTCATCTTGTGTTTGTTCGCATGTGTGTAGCACGATTAATAAAGGACCCAGAGACAGGTGTTGGGGTTCAAGCTTCAAGCTGAAGATCAGAGAAGCAAAGCCAGTAGGTCTTACCTCTGCCCAGCTGAAATGGCTGGTCCTGTCCCCACAAATCCTCAGAGGCAAAAGCTCTCAGTTCCTGTCTCCTCCTCTTACTCCTTTCTCTGCCCAGCCATATCAGCTCCCCAGTGCTGGGATTAAAGGTGTGTGATCCCAGGTGCTGAGATCACCTTTGTGTGAGCTGTTGCTTTTAGGACTGGATCAATTTCATGTAGTCAGTGTGGCCTAGAGCTCACAGAGATCTGTCTCTTTCTTAATCCCGAGTCCTGGGATTAAAGGCGTGTGTCACCACTGCCTGGCCTCTATAGCTGGCTTTGCTTTCTTTGTCCTCAGGCAAGCTTTAATAAATCATGAATAATATGTCACCACAAATGAGCCTTCTACTCTGTTCTCTGTAAGGTCGGGGCCTGCCCATCCCCAGACTTCAGCAGCCCACTTTCATGAAGAAGGATTTGCGTACATAGACTGGATGGTGGATATTATGGGACGCCTTACTGTCAGAGATAGCGTGGATAGATGTATGAGTTAATGCATGTGTATGCTTACACGGTTTAACGTTGCAGGATGGGACGTGGGTGGATGGTTGGATGGATGGATGGATGGATGGATGGATGGATGGATGGATGGATGGATGGAACGGTGGGTGGATGGTTGGTTGGATGGAATGGTGGGTGGATGGTTGGATAGATGGATGGAACAGTGGGTGGATGGTTGGTTGGATGGAACGGTGGGTGGATGGTTGGTTGGATGGAACGGTGGGTGGATGGTTGGTTGGATGGAACGGTGGGTGGATGGTTGGTTGGATGGAACGGTGGGTGGATGGTTGGTTGGATGGAACGGTGGGTGGATGGTTGGTTGGATGGAACGGTGGGTGGATGGTTGGTTGGATGGAACGGTGGGTGGATGGTTGGTTGGATGGAACGGTGGGTGGATGGTTGGTTGGATGGAATGGTGGGTGGATGGTTGGATAGATGGATGGAACAGTGGGTGGATGGTTGGTTGGATGGATGGGACGGTGGGTGGGCGGATGGGATGGTGGGTGGATGGATGGAATGGTGGGTGGATGGTACAGAGATGGAGAAGGGATGGACTAGCAAATACAGACACAAATGTATGATTCAGGAAAGCAAGGTGAGTGGACCAGGGTGATCAGCCAATTAGGGCCAGTGGTTCTCAAACCTGTGGGTTGCAACCCCTCTGGGGGGTTGAACAACCCTTACACGGGGATCACCCGAACCGTAGGAAACATCAGATATTTACACTGCAGTTCACAACAGCAGCAAAATTATAGTTACGAAGGAGCAATGAAAGTAATTTTATAGTTGGGGGTCACTACACTGTGAGGAGCTGTTTTAAAGGGTGACATCATTAGGAAGATTGAGAACCACTGCGTTAAGCAGAGTTGGAACAGGATAGATGGATGCATCAGAAGAAGAAAGCGTCTGTCATGGGGCACAGCGTTATCAGATAACCAGCCATTTCCCTCACCTCTGTGTTCCCACTCTGGGAGCCTCTGGGGTTCTCATTCATGCTTTGGAGAGCTGGTTTAGTCCAAAGCAGCCAAGGTCCAGCATTTTTGCGAGCTTCCTGTCATCGTGGGCAAACACCCGAGAGCATCGTGGTTCAGCGGTCTCATCGGGGTTACTTGGCCCCTTTACTTTGAGCCTGTGGGGAGGCAGAGCATTGTGGCAGGAGGCAAGCAGTAGAGCAGAGCTGCTCATCTCATGGTGGTCAGGAAGCAGATAGGGATGGAGCCAGGGTCCCAATATAATCACTCAAAAGTAGCATCACCAATGACCGCCAAGTAGGTCCCACCTCCTAAAGCCCCCCCCCCCAGGGGCACCAAGAATTTAGTACACGGCCTTCTGAGGAACATAACCCTAGTCTTCCCAACTTTGGTCTGCATGAAACTCCTGAGAAGACATGTGGAAGGGGTCTAGACCTGTTCCCTGGTGGGTGAGAGGGGTAACTACCCTTGTGGACCCTTTGCTTTGACGTAGAGTGTCCCGAGGCAAGGGACCGCTTTACAAATGGCCGTGGCCACCTGTTTGGGTTAGTAGCCCAGGGCTTGGAGGTCTTGCCTGTCTGTATTTGCTGCAGCCCTCAGCGAGGAAAATAAAGGCAGCGTCAGAGAATAATCTGAGCTCTGTGGAACAATAAGGGGTCTCCCCAGAATTTTCTTAGTAGTTTATTTCTTCATCTCCTCCTCGTCTTCCTTTTCCTCCTTCTCCTCCTCCTCTTTTTCCTCTTCCTCTTTCAAGAGAGTCTTCTGATGTTTTACAGGCTAGCCTGGAAACCCCTGTGTAACTGAAGACGAAATACAAGCCCCTAATTCTTCTGCCTCGACCTCTAGAGTATTAGTTCATGTGTTGCAGGAGATAAGCAAGGCTTGGTGCATTCTAGACCAGCGCTCTGTCAACCGAGCTAGTCCCCAACTCCCTCATTGTTTATCGGATCGTCGATCCTGATGGTTTTTGATCTTGTTCTGCATTTTGGGTATCATAGAGTAATGGCCTGATATTTTGTTTACCCAAACTTTTGTTTCAAATTTAACCAAGAGTTTCTCAAGATGCTGTGCTAGTCTCTTTAAAATAGTATGCAGACCTCTGGCTTCACAGCATTTCCCAAGTGTGTCCCCCCCCCCCTAATTTTCTATTATTTTTTTCATGTGAAAGGTGTTTTACCTGTGTATTTGTGTACCTCGTGCATAAACTGCCTACGGAGGCCAGAAGAGGGCACCAGAGCTCTTGAACCTGGAGTTACAGATGGCTGTGAGCTTCCTTGTCTGCGCTGAGAATCAAACTAGGTGGTCTGTAACAGCAGCGCGTGTTGTTACCAAACTCTCTCTCCAGCGTCCCTAGTTTTGTTTTGTTTTTTAGAGCTTCCCAATTATAGTCTACATTCTGGAGATTCACAAGCCCAGCCCTAGGCAGTGCAGGAGAACAATGCGCTTTCTCCCCTGTAAAAGGCTGGAGGAAGAAAGATTTCTCTCGTTTTCTAACTTCGGATTATTTACCCTCAGATCCTTCAAGGCCTCGTTGACGTTCGCATCCCTCATAACAGTTTCTACCGGAAACGTAAGTAGCCCTGCTACTCCGCAGCTTGCAGCCCAGTGTCCGGCTGCCTCGTGACTCATAGACCTCTGTGCCTGGAATGTTTCCTGGTCCCCTGAAGGGAGTAGTGGCCTGACCGTGATGAAGCTCTGTTGTGGTACCTATGTGCAGATCCCGCATACACTCACTACGTGTTTGTTTTTGTTTTCTTTCTTTCCGATAAGTGTTTTTGGAGATTGTCAGTGAGAAATCCAGATACTCTCTGCATCAGAACATGGACAAGATCAAGGTCCCAACACAGATCATTTGGGGGAAACAAGACCAGGTACGTCACAGGGCCCTGTGGGGGAAAAAGTAAGCGGTGGCCTTTACAGTGGCCTCCCTGGTGGGTTCCTGGTGTTGGGTGCCAATGCCTGCTGCCCCAGTTCCGTGAACTGGGAACAATGGTGTCTGACTTTTAACATGAAAGGAAATTTGTTTGTTTGTTTGTTTGTTTATTGAGATAGGGTTTCACCATGTAGCCCAAGCTGGCCTTGTACATGAGATCTTCCTGGCTTCACATCAGGGAATCAACAGGGCTGGGAACTCTGAGTGAGACTCTTCTCCATTTTCCCCCCAGCTTCTGTTGCTTGCAACCATCTTTGGCATACCCTGCCTTATAGGTGTATTCCCTAGACTCCAACTTCATCTTCACATGACATTTTGTGTGTGTGTGTAGGTCTGGGTCTGCATCCCCCCCTTTTTTTTCTGAGACAGGGTTTCTTTGTATTGCTTTGGATGCTGTCCTGGAACTCTCTCTGTAGTCCAGGCTGGCCTCAAACTCACAGAGATCCGCCTGCCTCTGCCTCCCGAGTGCTGGGATCAAAGGCGTGTGCAACCAACGCCGGCTGCATTCCCCCTTTTTAAGGTCACCAGTCATACTGGCTTGGGGCTTTCCTGCCCCTTTGTGACATCATCTTTTTTTTTTTTTTTTTTTTTTGGTTTTACGAGACAGGGTTTCTCTGTATTGTTTTGGAGGCTGTCAGTCCAGCCTGGCCTCGAATTCACAGAGATCCGCCTGCCTCTGCCTCCCGAGTCCGAGTGCTGGGATTAAAGGTGTGCGCCACTACCGCCCGGCTGCGTCTTGCCATCTTATTGAATAACCGGTTCCTTAGAACTAGTTGTTTCTTGTGAGCTTGGGCATCTCTCTAGGGTACCATAGGCTGTTCAGAATGTTTATGTAAGACATCAGGTTCCTGTGGTTATTGACTAGAGGCGAGACGGTAGACATTTTGATTTTTTTTTTAAAGAGCTCTGGTGGTTTTGTTAAAGGCAGGCTTTTCTGGTTTACTACTCGCTGGTCTGTTCTGGCATGCTTCTAATAACATCAGAGTCACCTGCGTGAGGGACAGCCAGTGTGCACACTCTGTAGTATTGTCCATGCTGTACCCAATTCAATGTTATCGCCACTGTGGTGATGGACACCGGTTTTAGTCACCATGGCATAATGTTCTAGTTCAGATTTCCTCAAAGCCGGGCAGATGTTGGTGGGGATGACCAACTTCGCTTTGCCCTGTCTGATCATCTTGAGTCTGTTTGTTTCCCAGAACGTACTTCCCACTTTTCATAACAAGCTGGAGCCTGGACTCTGTCGACTCCAGGGACTTTTTCCATCTTCTTTGCAGCCACCAAGATGGCTGGGGAGCGAGAAAGGGGCGACATTTTGATTTTGTTTTTGACTTTTTGTCTCCGTGTGCACAAGGCATGGCGTACCAGAGCGTGCCTCCCCCACCTCCTTTGAATTGGTGTTTATGTTAAAAAAAAAACAACACTGTATCCATGCACTTTTCATCTCCAATGCTGAGTATTTTGGTCTGTGTAAAATTTGAGCCCTAGGTAAAGCCCTGACTTGACATCAGTGGAATGGAGAAGTTTTTCTTTTAGACTATTTATCTGATGACATAATTGCGATGGCTCCCACTAGCATGCATGTCTCTTGCGGGACCACATACACCAACTCCACGTGGGTGACTACAGGGAATGCTGGGTTTGCAGAGCTGACCAGCGTGACAGTGCCAAGTTAGAACCCATGTGGATGTCTTGCCTATGAGCTGTAGCTTCCGATCTCTCTTCACCATGGATCCTTATTTGGGAGTGTCTTCTTTTCCTCGTCTGCTTCTGTCATTTTGACTTAACCTGCATCCTCTCTGGGGACTTTCCCCCCCAGCACGTAGGTTTCATGCCTGCTTAGACGGTGACCTCACTGGATGCATCCACCCACAGCTTCTCGTGGAGACCCGTGCTTACATTTCTTTCCTTGGCCCAGGGCGCCCCGCCATATTCTCTTCTGCCTACCTACTTGAAGGTGCTGGGAACCTCAAGTTGATGAGACTAAAGCTCAGAAACAGCCTGAAGACTTTAAAGTCTTTGCCCGTGAATGACAGAGAAGAGGATCCGGGCCGGGAAGACCTATGGTTGACTTTGACCAACATGAAGGGCATGATGGCAAACCTACCTCCAGAGGAGACTGTGGAGGGAGAGGAGAACCCACTAGGCATGCTAGGGAGATAACTAAAATTAAAATAAACGTGAATGCATTCACCTCTTTCGTCTTCTAGCGGGACCTTCCTACTCTTTGGCTTCCTACTTCAGCATAGAACCAACCACTCAAATTCTTTCCCTTAGTAAGTCTCAGGACTCCCTGCTGTCCCAAGGCCGGATTAGGGACGGGATATGCAGTTGGTGGTATGTGCTGCCTAGTGTGCATGCGGCCCTGGGTTCACTCCCCAACCCTGAGTACAACTGGATGTGGTGCTAAGGCCAGGGTAAAGGCCTTCCTTCTGCTCTACCGTGCCCTGCCTGACCCCGGCTTACCGTAACCTCTCACCCCCATGCTCTTCCCCTTTCTGTAAAGATCCCTCTGCCCCTGCCCTCAGCTGTCTCAGAGCTCAGGGATGGTGTCTTCCCCTTTCTCCGCTCTGATTTGCCCTCTCAGCTCCTTTCTGTAGAAAACCCTGTTCACATCACACGACATCTGTCTCTTGGTAATGTCTGACCTCAACCTCCTTGGAGACAGGAACTCTGTCTTTCCCACCTGCTTATCGATGGCAGTGTTGCACTTCTAGTATCGTGTTTCAGAGTCAAACAGGAGGCTGATGGCTTCCATTTGCCCCATCTTCCTGCTCTCTGCCATGCCTCTGTGGTAGGAACTGTCCACAATACAGCAGAACATCTCAATCTCTGTGTACTGTAGGAACTGTCCACAACCATACAGCAGAACATCTCAATCTCTGTGTACTGTAGGAACCGTCCACTGCACTACAGCAGAATATCTCAATCTCTGTGTACTGTAGGAACGGTCCACTGCACTACAGCAGAACATCTCAATCTCTGTGTACTGTAGGAACGGTCCACAACAATACAGCAGAACATCTCAATCTCTGTGTACTGTAGGAACTGTCCACAACCATACAGCAGAACATCTCAATCTCTGTGTACTGTAGGAACCGTCCACTGCACTACAGCAGAATATCTAAATCTCTATGTACTGTAGGAACGGTCCACAACCATACAGCAGAACATCTCAATCTCTGTGTACTGTAGGAACGGTCCACAACCATACAGCAGAACATCTCAATCTCTGTGTACTGTAGGAACCGTCCACTGCACTACAGCAGAACATCTCAATCTCTGTGTACTGTAGGAACGGTCCACAACAATACAGCAGAACATCTCAATCTCTGTGTACTGTAGGAACGGTCCACAACAATACAGCAGAACATCTCAATCTCTGTGTACTGTAGGAACCGCCCACAACAATACAGCAGAACATCTAAATCTCTGTGTACTGTAGGAACGGTCCACTGCACTACAGCAGAACATCTCAATCCCAGTGTACTGTAGGAACGGTCCACAACCATACAGCAGAACATCTCAATCCCAGTGTACTGTAGGAACGGTCCACTGCACTACAGCAGAACATCTCAATCCCAGTGTACTGTAGGAACGGTCCACTGCACTACAGCAGAACATCTCAATCCCAGTGTATTGTTTCTTTCCTCTTCCTCGGCAGGTGCTTGATGTGTCTGGGGCAGAAATTTTGGCCAAGTCTATTGCCAACTGCCAGGTGGAGCTGCTGGAAAACTGTGGCCACTCGGTGGTGATGGAGAGACCCAGGAAGACAGCCAAGCTCATTGTCGACTTTTTAGCTTCTGTGCACAACACAGACAACGACAAGAAGCTGAACTGAGGCCCTCGCTGCAGCCCGCGTCGTTCACACAGCATCTGCTCCCATCCCCCAACTTGACACAGCCTCTACTCTCAGGAATCCTGCCCGGAATGCCGCTGGAGCACCAGTGTCCCTGAGGAAGCCAGTCTCCCATCCCAGTCTTGGTTCCACAGAGCATCAGGGGCCACAAGGAAATCTCCAAGATCTTTTTGTTTTTTCAAAATAGGAACCTAAATGCAACTGGATTTAAAAAAAAAATACCCAGCCATGAAGCCTACTAGACGTCTTCAGGTTCGTGTCACTGATGAGCCAATGCTAATCATGACGACCATGACCATCAAAGATGTTTTCTTTAAGACATTCCTCACACGTCAAACTTGAGCTATATTTTTGTTGTTGTTGTTGCTTCAGATGTAACCCTTGCATGGTCAGTGGCTTCTTCTAGAGGAGCTTTTTAGTCATTTGTTGAGCTCTTATTTAGATCTAATTCATGTTTTGCATAGAGGCCCATGTGTGAATGCAGCCCACTAGCCACAAGACCAGAGAAGAAACAGCAAACTGTGGAAGAGGTTTCTGCCCCCATGCCTGGCGCACAGACCTGGAATCTCAGCTCCTTGGCAGGCTGAGGCGGGAGGATCCAAGATCAAGGCTGGCCTGAGGTACAGAGTGAGTTCAAGGACAGCCTAAGCTACTGACTGAGACAATTAAAAAAAAAAAGAAGAAGGAAAGGAAAAGAAAAAAGTTTCTATGTTTTTTTACATGTAGAAACATATATGAAGGAGCTTTGTTTGGCTTCAGCCAGCCCTCAGAGCTGCTGAAGCAGCAGAACACAGGCCGATGGGTTTGGGTACCTACAAGTCGGTTACGTCAGAGTCAGCAGAATGGAGAACGTCGGACAGGGTGGGTTTCCTAGGAATCATTTGCCATTCTTAAAATAAGACTAATAAAGCAATAATGCTCTAGACTTCTATCTAATCAGACTGGAGTTCCATGCCAAGCAGCTCGTGGGCATCTTTTCTATTCCGATGTTCTCCTGATAACCCTTGGATAGAGAATACCAGTCTGTTAATGAATTCTGTGAATTCTGTGAGCAACAACGTGATTGAAAAAAAAAGATAAGTCCCAGCAGCTGTAAAAGTGACCACGGTGATGTGAAATAAAATTAATAAGTCTGAGCTGGCAATGCGCAGGTGCTTTCTATTTCTGAGCCCAAAGTGGGGTGCAATGTTGGTTTTCTTTAAAGATTTGTTTATTATTTATTACGAACACAACACCCTGCCTCCATGTATGTCTACACATCAGAAGAGGGTGCCAGATCTCATTACAGATGATTGCGAGCCACCATGTGGTTGCTGGGAATTGAACTCAGGACCTCTGGAAGAGCAGTCAGTGCTGTTAACCTCTGAGCCATCTCTCCAGCCTGCAGTGTTGTTTTTAAGGCAGGATCCCTCGGTGAACCTGAAGCCAGCAAAGCCCCGGGCACCCTTCCCTCGCCACCTGCCCAGCAATGGGATAGCAGGCAGGAGTTGCTGTGTCCGGTCTTTTACATGGGGTCTCAGGCTTACACGGTGAGCCATCTCTCTGGATCCTGAAGTGTATTTCTCCCGACCCATGTTTATTGTGATTACGTGGATGTGTCTGTGTCCGTGTGGGGGTAGATGCAAGTGAGTACGGGTGCCTGTGGAGGCTAGCAGTCACAGGTCCCCCTGTAACTGCAGTTACAGGACATTGTGCCTCGTCTGTCATGGGTATTGGGATCTAAACTTGGGTCCTCCAATGAGCAGCGTGTACTGGTCACTGCTAAGCCATTTCTCCTCCCAAGTGTGTTTTTTAAACTAACTGAAATCATCTCTCAAAAGCAGAAGTCATCAATTTGTTCCTTTTTTTTTCATTTTCTTCCCTTTTTTTGTTTGTTTGTTTTTCTGTTTTTTGAGGACAGAGTCTCACAGAGATCCACCTGCCTCTGCCTCCCGAGTGCTGGGATTAAAGGTGTGCGTTGCTAACACCCAGCAGTCTGTTCCTTTTCCTTCACTTCTGTTGCTGATAGTTTTAATGGGAATCCTCGGTGTGGTTTGAATATTGTAATTAATCAGAGAAGCATGGAGTGTAGTTCTTAAAAAGAAAAGTGACAAAAATGTCACCCGGCTTGTGAGACGTAGCCAATGCCCTGATCAGGAAAATGTATAGGTGTAGATGCATACATCAGGAGAGAAAGGCTGAGCCAGGTGGTGGTGGCCTCGCCTTTGATCCCAGCACTTGGGACGCAGAGGCAGGCGGGTCTCTGAGTTCAAGGCCAACCTGGTCTACAAAGAGAGTTCCAGGACAACCAGGACTACACAAAGAAACCCCGTCTTGAAAAACCCAAAATAAAAAAGCAAGAAAAGAAAGGCTGAAAATGAATAAATTAAGCTTCCACGTCCAGAAGCTAGGGCAGGGGAAATGAGTAAATCAGTGGAACAAGAGAGTGATCCAACTTAAAATTAGAATCAGCAGAACCGGGCATTGGTGGCACGCGCCTTTGATTCCAGCACTCTTGAGGCAGAGGCAGGCGGATCTCTTGAGTTCGAGGCCTGGCTGATCTGACAGCCTCCAAAACAATACAGAGAAACCCTGTCTCGAAAAACAAACAAAAAGAATCAGCAGAATCTATTCTGTTTCTCAAGAAAAGTACATAATAGATGATTTGACTTTTTCCCCATGAGTTCTGAGTTTCCTGTGAGGAGGATGACTCTGCGCCTGGGTGATGAGAGATGGCTTCTCATGAATGCTGAAAGAGGCCTGGACCTGGGGATCCCTTTCAGAACAGCAGCCTCGTGAACCCGGGGCTTCTTAGGGGTAAGGGTTGGAAGAGTCTGTGAGCCAGGTGTCCTGGTGTGTACTCGCAACCCTAGGACTTGGAAAGAGGGGGCAGGAAGGTCCTGGAGCCATAGTAAGATGGTCTCGAAGCACAGTGGCCCAGGGAGACAGATCTGCACTGTCATCCTTCAGACAGGGCCTGCACTGTCCACCTCAGCCTGGAAGAAGAGCTGGCAGGCTCTGCCGGAGGACGCGGCCCCCACCCCCTCCCTGTCCACAGAAAACCTTGACCGAAGTCGTAAACCAAGGGTAAGAGGGTTGTTTTGGATGAAGTGGGTTTTCGAGGTCCTCTGGTGGCACTGGCGTGCTGGGAAGTCCCTTGGACCCTGTGTCTTGCTCCAGCAACTTTAAGGAGCCTGTTATGTCCTGCCAGCTGGCTGCCGCCACGCCAGACCCTGCTGGGCTCTGAAGAAAGGAATCATTCACCACAGCCCCTCCTGAAACACTGCCAGGAACTTTCCGGGATGAAACGGAAAGCCCAGTAGACTCGATCCCTCTGCTTGGAGTTGGGGCCTCAGAGTTGCTGCAGCCTGAGCTTCCTGGGCAAATACTGGAGACAATGAGGGGTGAGCAGCGATCATCTGGGCAGCTTCCGCAGGATGGGGGTGACAACAGGAATGACATTGGTACCAGGTGACGCATGCCAGGTTGAAGGTGCTGCCTGTTCAACGCTGGGTCTTCCTCTTGAGTCCCTGTGAGGCCCCTGTATCCCGGGGAGTCATACCCGCTGCTCGGCCCCAGGGAAGTTCCCAGAAAACACTGGCGGGTTGGATTACCTGCCAGCTGGGCCTGCAGGACTAAAGCGACTGTGTTTGTCCGATCCCGTTTTCTATCTCCTCTCTTTCTATGGCTCTCCCAGGATGAGTCACACGCAGGCCCAGGCAGTTACCGCCCAGCCACTGGAACACCTCCCCCAGTGTCACCCCGAAGCCACCGACTAGACTTCCTGGTTAGCTGTCGGGGGTTAAAAAGCAGGAGGCATTTTGAAGGAGAAGGAATGAAGAGAGATGGGGCAATGGAGATAACCTCCACTTAGCTGAGGCGCAGAGGAGGGCAGAGCAGCGCTTGGGTCGCTGTCGAAGATTCTTGCTGCCTCGGGGCTTTGTGGTTTAGTATCATCCGTGTTCTCTAGGCTGGGAAGAACCAGGGTGTGGTCCTAGCGCTTCCTCTGCCTGTGGTGGGAACAAGGGTCTTGGGGTCTTTGTCATTGATCTGAGAAAGGTACAGGCACCAGGCAGCTGGGCTGTTGGTGTTCCGAGTCCAGTAGGGACTACTCCATTCTGAGCTTTGGGATCTTTGGTACCGTGGAGTTCTATCCGGTAATGGGAATGAAGGATTCTGACAATCCTAGTGGCCCAACTCCAAAGCTAGCTGGGACATATGACTCTGATTGTAACACAACTCTAGGAAGGTCGCTGTCAAAGACTAATGTGAGCCCACTTCCCTAATCCCTCACCAAGGCTCTCAGATCTGCATATCACTCAAATTCAGAACCATCCCTGTGTAGAAGGACCATGCACTATATCTCATGTAATAGCCCAACTCCATGCGTGATCCAATTGGTGCATCCGTGTTTCTGCTGTCTGCAGGCTGGATGAGATCTGAAACAAGCCTCCCTCCATGTTGATACTGGGTGAGAAGACTGTGCTCTGTTTTGCTTTTTTGTTTGTTTGTTTGTTGGTGGCACACTGGGGAAGAGAGTTTCCCAGCGTGGAGAAGAACACACTTTTTTAAAGGAATATTTTAAAAATGTATTTATTTTATGTGCATTGGTGTCACGCCTGCGTGCATGTGTGAGGGTGTCAGATCTTGGAGTTACAGACAGCTGATAGCCGCCATGTCCTCTGGATAAGCAGCCAGAGCTCTTAACCAACGAGCCATCTCTCCAACCCCGTCCTTGTTGCGAGCAGCCGGTGTGTTCGAAGCTACAGTGCTACCATACTTCACAGCGATCCGAGGCTAAGGGCTAAGGATGAAAATAAAGACAAAGACAGCGGCTCATTCTTGCAAGGAGAATGACATTTATTATTACAAGAGTGGAGCCTTATATACCAAAGTCAGGTACGGTGGAAAAACACCAAGGTCAGAAGCCTACCTTCCCAGGGCCCTCCAGCAAAGGGTGCACCAAAAACAGGAATTAGCTTTTAGACAATAAACAGGAACTTGCATGCAGGCCTTACTGGGAGGAGGGGATGAGAAGTGTTTTGCTAAAAGTCCCTAGTAACAAGCAGTCAGCAGACCCCCATGGGGGAAGGGTGCAACACGTCCTAATATTTCCCATTACTGATATTAATGCTACCTGTCACTTTTATTTTCTCGATGCTAAGAAGAAAGATGCCTATACCTCCTGCATGGCCCCACTACCCCCACGTCAGTGTTTTTGGGATGTCTGTGTGCTTGCGCACACATGTACATACCTGTAATCAGGGAGGACCTGCAGGTGGCTCGGTGAACTTTTTTTTAAACCAAAACAAAAACATAAATGCTGGGAATTATTGTTGCTCCTACTACCTGCCTCTCCCACCCCTATACCTTGGGACTCTTCTAGGGCAACCCACAGAGCCTTGGGTTTCTGTGAGGGGACTGCGGAGCTCTCCAGAGAAAGTGTAGAGTGCCCAGGTGCCCCTGAGAAAGTATTTTGAAATTTTTAAGACATTATCTAGCCAAGTACAGCAGCAAAAGCCCACGATTGCCGCTGCTTCGGAGGGTGACAAGCCGGAGGCCAGCCTCACAAACTTAGGGACGCCTCAGAACAGAGTTAAAAGCTGAGGACTCAGCTCTGTGGCAGAACACTTGTCCCGTGAAGCTCTGGAAGAGAGGAGGAAGCTGAGGGGAGGGGGAACGACCTCTAGACCTCACCCAGAAGCGATCTGCTTCAGTACAGGGTGGCTAGAGTCTCCTTTGCTGGGGTCTTCAGGGTGGTTTTTTGATGGGATTCCGGCCAGCCTGGGGCCTGGCAGGACTTGCCCTTCCTCCTAGCCCCCTTGGCCTTGCTAAAAACCATCAGGGTACACTCCTAAAGCTAGCCTCCGAGGTCTAATCCCGTATTTGGCCACTTCCTCCTTCTGAGACTGACTACCAAAGCCCAGCAATCAAAAGCCACCTTTGGATCACCTAATTAATATGTCCAATTAAAACTAAACACCTCATCCTAACTAACAGGGTTTCTCCCTTTACCTTTATAAACTGACATTTGCCTAAGTGCCAAGTCTGTCTCTTCTCTATCCAAAGGGCAGGGATATTTGTCCCTCTGAGCAAATATCCCTGCCCCCTTTTGTTCCCTTCCCCTTCTCCCTAGTCCTCTATCTCCTGTGTTTGT